CACAAGGAATGCGACAGCAGAAACCCATGTCTTTCATACGTCTGTGTGTGGTGGTTCTTGAAGCACTCACTCCAGCTGCAGTCCACTCTTTGTGAATCTCCCCCACATTTTTGAATGGGTTTTGTTTCACAATCCTCTCCAGGGTGCGGTTATCTCTCTTGCTTGTACACTTTTTTCGACCACATCTTTTCCTTCCCTTCGCCTCTCTATTAATGTGCTTGGACACTGAGCTCTGTGAACAGCCAGCCTCTTTAGCGATGACCTTTTGTGTCTTGCCCTCCTTGTGCAAGGTGTCGATGGTCGTCTTTTGGACAACTGTCAAGTCAGCAGTCTTCCCCATGATTGTGTAGCCTATAGAACTAGACTGAAAGACCATTTAAAGGCTTTTGCAGGTGGTTTGAGTTAATTAGCTGATTAGAGTGTGGCACCAGGGGCCATCAATTTTGAACCTTTTCACAATATTCTAATTTTCTGATATGATGAATTTGAGATTTTCATTTGTTGTCATTTGTAATCATCAAAATTAAACAAAATAAACATCTGAAATATATGAGTTTGTATGTAATGTATGAATATAATATACAAGTTTCACTTTTTAAATGGAATTACTGAAATCAATCTACTTTTTCATGATATTCTAATTTTATGACCAGCACCTGTAAATATTGTCTGTGTCATTTCTAGTATTTATATTGTTGGTTTGGGAATATTATGATATTTTGTATGGGGATTTAAAAGTGTGTTTTTAATACTTTTTGTAACATTATTTTCCTATTGGTTGATTTCTGAGCCAATTAGATGTAAGTTGGAGATTGTAAGCCTTTTAAAAGGGCAGGGCTTTTTCATTCTAGTGAGGGAGGGTGAGCTGAACACACGCTTGCTGCGAGGCTGTGTTTAAGGGAAAAGTAAGTGCAAGGAAGTTTGTATTTAAAGTCTTGGTTATAGTTTATATTTTGTGTTGCCTGATTGAGGCCGGTTTTCTTTTGCGTTTATTCAGTTTTTTTGTTTCTCATATTTTTGTATGCTCACTTCCGCACTGTAAATAAATACGCACCCGTCTTCAAGATATTTTCAGTTGCCTAGTTTCCGTCTTCTTTAACCTTTATTGGTGAGGGCCAGTCCTGACATGAGCTGGGGGTGGAGAAGCCCCTTTCTCACAACTACAAATTGTTAACAAAATAATAGCAAGCCAATGATACTCAAGTGGTACTATGGTAGTACTCCAAGAGTAACCCATAGTCAGAGAAGAATTAAAAATTGCCAATGTCATTTATTAGATGGTTTAATAAAGAGAATTTGATCAAATTAGTAAACACACCGAACCAGCTTTTTGAGAATTACGAGTTGTGACCTTACTGATGGAGGATATGTTAATTTACTCAGTATTTCTTATTGCGCCTTATGGAGAACTTCTCCTCTGTTTCTTTGGTAACAAACCAGTAGCTCCCCAGTAGGGCCAAATTTTCCAGTATTTGCTGGTTAATTATTCTACTGGTTGGGCCCTGTGTTCCACAGTCAATGCTGATTAATAGGGCTGAAGACTCTGTGTTCCACAGAAAGTGCTGTTTAATAAGGCTGGGCTATGTGTTCCCAAGTGAGTAGCGATTAACTAGCCATTAGTTCCTGATTAATTTCCCTAACTAGTAGCCTCCTAATAAGGCTCGGTTGGGTTACTTATGGGTAGTTACCGTAACCAGTACCTACATGATTGGTTCCCAAGGTGTTCCTTATCTGTTTGTTTAGAATTTCAGTTGTCATATAATCAAATATGTTACTTTTAAGCCAAAGCCCTTCTTTTTATGATAAAGTTGATGCTCTTTGGACCGGTTCTGGAAATAAGCCTAAACATTACCTACAGTAAATATTATCCCAAGATTGATCAAGGAGTTTTTCTGTTTTACTTTTAGTAAAAGAAAAACAAGAATTCTTCCTTTCAGTTGTGCTTTAAAATGATGTCTGGTTATAACTTCACTGATCTGTGTGACCGTTTTATTTTAAATTACTTTGTCAGTTTTTAACATATTAAAGTGTATTATGTTTGTGTTCTTCTTACCTAGGTTTTATGCAATTTCTCTCTATCTGTTCCCTTTGTTTATAGAGTTGATCTTAAATGCTAAACTAATGCTAATCTACTAAAATCTCCCACTCAAAATTTGGATGTGCAATGTATGGCTGTATTGTGGGTGACCTACTAAGACTGTGCCCCATACATACACACTTCATTATTTCATCGTTCTTCACCTTCACTAGACATGGATATACTATAGTAAAGGCATCCCCAACCTCAGTCCTCGAGGCCCGCTGTCCTGCAGGTTTTAGAGGTTTTCTTGCTCCAGCACAGCTGATTTTAATTGAAAGCTGATTAACAGGCTTTTGGTTTACTGCAATCATTATCAGCTGTGCTAAAGCAGGGAAACCTCTAAAACCTGCAGGACAGCGGGCCTCGAGGACTGAGGTTGGGGATGCCTGCTTTAGTATATTCTGCTGTAAAATTAGTCTTATGGGGCTACCTTCAGTTTCACAGCTCCCCTCCTCACGCATGCTCTCTCCATTCACCTCCTGGTCGCAATCTTTACTCACTGTAGCAGCAACGTCTACCTCTCCCTCTTTGGTTCTTTGAAAGAGGGTTTATTTTGGAAAGTTTTTTCTGTTCTTCCAGGAGCTCTTCTTTGCTTTTTCTTTTCTGGAATCTGCTTAAATACCTCATTTTGGTATCTATCGTTGCTAACATATTGTACGTAACAGTTATTGTTTTATTCTACGCTCTGGATTACCCATAATTCCAAGTCCTAGTGTAAAAATTAAAATACTCCAATACATTGTTATTTTAAGATCTTTATTGAAGTTTGAAACATATTATATGAGTTTACCAGCCGTCTAATGAACTATACAGTTATAAACATAGTAATTTAAAGTACTACTGTCTGCTTTGCTATTGGTGTCGTGTTTAAACGGCTCAGCATCATGCTGAAATTTACCATGTGTTGGGGTATAAATAAGGTCCAGTCAGCTCATGTAGTATCGGGTGGGTTTAAAGGCACACGATGCAACATTTTTCAGTTAATTAATGTGTTCCATAACATTTTGGATGATAAAATGAGTCATTTCAGGTTGAACAAAGGTATTCTCGGCCGCCATGGTGGTCTGTGGGGGAAATACCGCACTTGCAATTGCAGGAGCACCGACCCGCACCCACAGGCTCAGAAGTCTCACGAGAGTCAGTCTTGCTTTACGGCGAGAACTGCTACATGCCCCCAGTTAAAAGCATGCTCATTGCTAGCACAGTGGCGATCTTTGTGCAGTTATGCTACGTTCACATCGGACGCAGCAAAATCGCGTCTGCTGCTTCCTTTTTGCTGCTTGTACCAGTTAGTTCTGACGCGCGGCTGAAGCAGCTTTGCTGCTCTGGCTGCGCGGTGCAAAAGTGTGTCTGACGCGCGTTGGGCGGAGCTTCACTATCCTTTCTCTGCCTTGCAGCTATATTTGCTGTGATCAGTGGGAATAAAGTAGTTTTAATATGTGTTTAAGTGAGAAAATACACCTGAAAACTTCATCAGTGCAGTCAGTTCATTCAGATTATCATCCTGCCTTCAATATTATTTCTGTCGGAGCCGCTCAGACCCCCACATACCAGCGGTGCGCCGACAGTCGGAATCCCTTCATCAGCAGCCTCTGGCCGGGTCACCTCCTCGCGGTTCACCGGGGCAGCTGGTAGGTGTTTTTAATCTAAATAATCCAAACTGCAGGCAGCAGGATAATAAAAGCCAACATATTCTGCCGGCAGATTTCTGCATTTTAAGTTAATTTATGTGTCAATAAACTGTTTAAGAGGAGTGATCATCAGCGCTGTGTCTCTCTCCCTGCGTCAGATGATTAAACGCGCTCGACGCGCTGCTTCAGCTGCTCAAACGCGCTGCGCCTGCTGCTCAAAACGCGCCGCGGGACCTTTTGCTGCGCCTTGACGCGCGTCAACCATTGACTTTGCATGTAAACTCGCTGCTTCTGTCGCGCCAGCTGCGTCCAGTGTGTGCATTCGTTGCGTTCGCCTGTCTGCTAAGCTCAAAACAACCGCGCCTGGCTTGACGGAGAAACCAGGAGAACAGCTGTGCATATTTACGACAGTGCACTTTTACTTTCGCCCTCTGGGGGGAGCCTCGATGGAAAATCAACACCGGTTGCATAGTGTACCTTTAAGAGGAATTTTTCGCCCATTACATCTGCAAAGAGATAGCCTGGGTGCCATTCCGATCAATGCTCATCTTCTTATTCTAGGCGTGCAACTGCATGCTATGATTTTTGTTGACAACAACTATGCGTCGCTTAACATACGTCACGCACTCCATAGCTCTTATTGGTTGTAGGTCTATCCAATTGAGTGCAGAGGCACTTTTTTTCCTGGTTCGTTCGAAACGCGCCCCATAATCACAGCTTTATGGAGCAGTATCAGACTCATATTCTGACTAGAATTGAGTAGGACTACGTCAGGCTAGCAAAGAGACGTCCTAGTCCAAAATTGCTTAGGGGGCCCCTAACTGCTGTCTCTGCTTACAGATAGTTACACCATTAACCATTGTGTCACCTCATCTTTCCAGCCAACACATACATACAAAACCGTTTTTTTATATAAATAGAAAATGTATATCTTTCTCCATTTTATTTATAGACAAAACTAAAATATTGTGACTCCTGTTTTAAGGCAGCTTTAAAGTAAAATATATAATAAACCCACTGACTTTAATATGTAAGTTACACTGACCAATTCCTGATAATAAAATACTTTTTGTAAATGTCATTTATTTCTCATTCATAAACTTGCTTAATTTGATACTTGAAAATTTATTTATATTTCAATTTTGAAATACATGACAAATAAAAACAAATTATTTCATCTTCTGAATTGCTACACCTTTTGCCCTCCTTATTAAATACTTTATGTAGATACATTGAAGAATTAAGCTTAACTAGGGAAAGAATAATGAAAATGTGATCTAAGGATTTACCTGCACATCAGAGAAGATGACTACCGGCAGAACCACGATGAAGGACACGATCCACACCGCAGCGCTCACCACCTTGGCCACCCGAGGGTGTCTCCATTTGGTGCTACGGATCGGATGGACCACGGCCAGGTAACGATCCATGGACATGACTGTTAGGCAGAATATGGATGTGAACTGATTCATGGAGTCTGCGGTCATTACTACACGACAGAGGAAGGAGCCAAAGGGCCAGTAGGAGAGCACATTTTGAGTGGTGAGGAAAGGCAGCCCGACGATGTAAAGCTCATCGGCCACTGCCAAGTTCAGGATGTAGATGTTGGTGACAGTCTTCATCTTGGCGTAGCGCAGCACTACGTAAATGGCCAGCGTGTTCCCGGAAAGACCCACTATGAAGACAGTAAATGAGATAATAGCAGTCAGCACAGTGCTGCTGCCCTGAAAGGGAACACTCTGCGTAGACATGTTAGAGGAGATGTTGAGAACGCGAGGGAACGAAAAGAAGGAGGATGAGCCAGTTGCTCCAGATGAGTTGGGTTCTGGAGGGAGTAGAAACCAGTGCGCGTCCAGATGGTCCATAGTTACAGCCTGCATGCGGAGGTGATCCCTTGATTAAACAAACAAAAAAATCCCATAAATAAAAAAAAAAAAATCAAATGTATTGTTTATATTTAAGAACAAAACAACACGCCCGAAAAAATAATACCACAAAACATGCTGAAAAAGTGAAGTGTTGCTTTTTTTTTTTGAGTAAAGTCAATAAAAAGAGGTTGAGTCTGTAAGTCTGTTCTCACTCAGATTAAGTTTAAATGGGAATTAAACGTCACATATATGTTTTATGCATTTGGAAAAGCTTTAATAAAGCTAGTTTGGAAATGCATTTGGTTTCAAATCTGGTTTGAGCAGCGAGCCGAGCTGCGGCGCGCATCGGGCGACGTCAATATTATTACGCACGACACATCTGCTTGTTTGTTTGTTTTAATAACACATATAAATCCTGTAAGAGGAGCTTTTCAGTATAAATATGACACCTTTATTAAAGTTATTCCGTTTCTGTGATATCAGGAGGCTTTATAGGCTACGTCTTAAGAATTAAGAAGATGCATTTATTGCGCACAAATATATAAACAAATAAGATTTGACTTACTTTGAAAATAGGGAAATTAAATCCAAATTTACCCATACATACGAAGAAAAAATACATATCCGAGCAAACAGATCTCTATCATCAATATATTGTCAGGATTTTTCCACGGCTTGTCTGGTACAGGTGCAGGCTCCTTTCCGTTGAGCTGAGCTGCGGCTCCACCGCTTCTCCTTTAACTTTCTGCTCACAGCTTTTCTCATGGTGATAATATTTAATCAGAGAGAGAGAGAGAGAGAGAGAGAGAATGAGGGATGTTTAGAGGGGTCTATGTTGAAACAATGAAGTTTTATTTTCTCCCTTCTGGTTTAATAAGATGTAGTTTTGTTTTTCGTTCTGTAGCAAAACACAAAGTGTTATAATGCTTAATGTTTTGCATTTCCTGACAGCAGTGGGATCCTCATACAGTATCCCTTATTATTTTTTTATTTGTCAGATTATAAATGAAAACCTTTATGTCATGTCATTTCATGCAATGTTAGTGTCTCTCGGATTTTGCTCTTTGCTAATTATCCTGTTTCAGAGAGGATTCTTGCACTGAACGTAAATTACTTAATCACCACAACCAGAATCATCACCACAAACTTAGAGGTCACAACAGCCTTGACCCAGGACACATGAAATGTAGGGTGTATTTTCATAGCTGGAGCTGGAGGCAGATGGCCACAGGGCTCACCACCTTACTGATGAGAAACGGCCTGATAAAAGAAGTGCCAGCTTCTTACCATCTATTGTAAGGGACTGGTCTTTTGTAGATAGCCATACTCTCTGGCCGTCCCGGTATAGGACATGGCCACTGGAAGTGGTATCCCTCTCGCAGTAGTAGACTAATATATTTACATAGTCAAATGGAAGAAACAAGGAGAAAATATGGCACTAGTAAAGATAATATACCACTGGTAAAGGAAAACACTAGTACTGCCACCATGACAACAGAGAGCAGCAGGACTGAGGATATTGTCCGCCCGCCTCTGTTAGCAGTTGAACCGGCAGGCCCAGCCCCAGCACCCGCAACCCAAGCTAGCATAACTGGATTAGACAAGCGGGGGAGTGCTGGCATAGTGGTCAGAGCAGTGTGCTTGTGCTCTGAGAATGTTGCAAGTACCTGGTGGATCCCCACAGCCTCCACTCTGGGTTTCTGAGCAAAACCCTTTACCCCACACTGCTCCCCGGGTGCCATACAATGGCAGCCCACTGCTTCTTAAGGGAATGGGTTAAATGCAGAGATATATGTCTCCAGTATGATATCAAAAAAATTCAACTATTATTATTTCTTAGCTCTTGTCTCATGTACTGTAGACGGGCTGGTCATATCACAGGTTATTTTCATTACAATACGGACAGTCAGCAAGGTAGAGTGAATACACAAACTTGAAGAGGGGAGGGTAGCTTGCAGGAAAAATGGAATTCTCCGGGACTTCTAGTGTTAATTAGAAGCTGGAACAGATGCCACCTGGACTCTATGAAGGAGGTGGGAAACTAAACTAAACTAAAATAACACCTCTGTTGGATAATGTCTCCCACCCCACGCATGAAGTTGTTGCTGAACTCTAGAGCTACTTCAGTGACAGACTGCTGAACCCTAAATGCACCAGGGGGCGTTATCACAGATCCTTCCTCCCAGCATCTGTAAGATTTTATAACCATCACGGTTCCCATCAACCTCTATAAGTTGTTACATTCATGCTGATTTTCTGCATAGTTTCAGTCTTAGTTATATTTATGAAAACACTGTACAAAACAATGTTTTATTTGTCTATTTTTTACTTATTTTCAAGGTCCATATTTGTGTGACCACTTTTGCTGTAATGCTTTAAGCCTGCACCACAAATCAAAGCCCTGCCTTTGTTTTCATCTCAATTGATATTCATTGTTTTGGTATTATTTCTTTATAAGTTCAAAAAAAAAAAAAAGAGTAGTCTCAAATTAGTAGACTGTGCTCTCTGGGGGTAGTGGTACGAACTGCAAATTTTAATAATGTACCCAATATTATTTACTCAACATTAAAATGGAAAAGACTGAACACAGTTTGAATGCAGGGAAGGGATATTTTTCCACCCTGTATTTCATTATCTCAAACGTACAGCTTTCAGAATATAAAAGACCCTGCAAGTAGGCATATTTTTTCATCTCAGTTTTATTCAACTGAAGTATTAATGTATGGGCAAAAGAAACTGAAATAAGATAAGTTGACGTGATATTTGAAGGGCATTTGTATCACTGAGCCCATGTATAGAGGGAAAAAAAACGAATAAAAAAAAGAATAAAAAGGGTTCGGTCCGACGATCCGTCCCTCCATCCATCCATCCATCCCTCCATCCATCCATCCCTCCATCCATCCATCCATCTATCCCCCGCTTATTCGTCAGGTTGTCAGTCTGTTGCAGGAAAGGGAAACCATTTTTCTTTTTAATTCTTTTGAACCTGTTCTTTCAATATTTTGTCGACAGGAAAATTATATAATAAACGAATTATCTTTGTGCTTGATAATATGCCATACAAATAATTATGTGTTAAGTAATATTTTCATAAACATTGTTGATAATAATAATTACACTGGTTTTGCACTCATTAAAATTAGCTGATGCGGAATGAAATTTACCAAATGCATAAAACTAGAGAGAACAGCGGGTCATGAAATTAATTCGACTCATGGTTCTGCAAGAAAACAAGCCTATTACATTACTGGGATTTTCTCCTTATTTAGCTGGAAACCCCTGTATCAACAACGGCAGCGATTAAATAATTCCTTGGAGAGTTATTAAGCTAGCATTATTCTGTTTACATTAAAACAGGTGGAAAATCTAAGAAAAAGAAACAAAATGCCAAAGGGATCTCCTAATTGTCAAAGAAAAGAAGTTAATATACACAAGTGTTTGTGACATCGGCGATAACTTTGCATGTTTGACTTTTGAGGCGGCTGGACCAGCAGACATGCTAATCAATATTGCTAGAGCAATGTCCTGAATAATCATTAAAAAAATAGAAAAATAAATGCTAATACCTCCGTAAGAGTAAATAATTTAATGGTTGAGTATATTTATAGACAGATTTTCTGTGGTTTCTGTGAGGCCATCGGGTGGATGAGATAACTTGGTTCTCTATGGCTCATGCTGACATTGTAGCTTTGAAATGCCATCCAGTTACCATGGCTGCTTTTTATGGGGGCTATCACTAGAGACTGTCCTGTAAGCAACACACAAGACTTTATTTGTGACCCATTTAGCTTTATAGACACAGCCTGCAGAGAGATTACAGACAGCAAACAAGATATTACAAAACTTTCAGATTATATGAAAGCCAAGTAATCCACATCACTTCCTATCCTTGATTCCCTTTCTCACTTTCCCTGCATAGGCACACTACACAAGATTTTAGTGGCAAGTAAATTAAAATCTACATTTCCAATAACAACACAACTCACTTGTTTCACCAAGCTTTCAAACCTTCCTAAATGAGAAGATGAAAAGAAAATAGCTCTGGTATAATTGCCCTAATAACTGCTTCAAAGCCTATAAATAACAAGATATATACAAACCATACAAGCAGAACAAGAATGAATGTTATTTTTTAAGTTTGTGTGCACATATTAGGTGTTTTATGTTCAGGTTTCTCATTGACACCGTAATGAACACTCCAATCAACAACCACATAACATAGAAACGCTTAAGTACTAACATTAGAACAAGAACAGTTAAAACTAGAAAAAGCTGTTTCGGAGAAACAGCAAGTGGGAATGCTTTTGCTGAATGAAAAAAGCTGAAATTAACTGCAGAACATATGAAAATGTGATAGGAAGTCATTAGAAACTTCAAACTGTAGAAAACAATTGAATCATCTGAAGATTTTGTAGGGTAGAATCAATTGGCAGTAAAAGGGCAGAAACAAACTCATCTTAAAAGCTGCACAGCCAAACCATACATAATATCAAAAAATTTCTTTCATGTGTGCAGTAGAAGGGTCTTAATATAATGTCTCCCAAGTTTCTAGAAAAATGTATAAAGAAATTTTGGAAGGGGGTTTACCTACTGCCCAGAAACATGTCAGACGTGTTATGAATTAGCAGCAAACAGAAAAGCTTAATTCCTGTCCAGAAAGAGAGCAGAATGAAGCCAAAGTTCACAGCATAGGCTGAAAAGTATGAAATTAGCTGATAAAAATTTTGAAATCATATGTGGAAATGTCAAGACTTGGCAAAAAAATTTGAAATTATTTAAAATGTGTCGGTTGATCAGCATAAAGAAAACAGTGTCATCATTTGAGGATTGAAAATCTACAAACCTAAGTGCAAGACTAACCATGAGAAGCAGAGAAAGGACAGAGAGAGAAGCTTATAGAAAGAGAGCTAATACCACTTAAGGAGCTGAATTTATAAAAAAAAAACTAACCTGCATGATACGAGCCACTGTGGTGATGAAAGCACCGTTGGCAGGCTTAGGCTGCATGTTACGAGGTTAGCAGATGCTTTATTACAGTGTAAATCTTAGAGCCTTATTAAGAAATGTAAACTGAGGTGTGTAGTCAACAGGCCTTGGTAGTGTAATTTGAAGAAATTGGTTGACTTTGGGTCATAGCTACAAGGCATACGGCACAATGAATAAGTGTGCGTAAGGAAGAGGCTTTGATTTTGTAGAGTCCCTTTAGTCTTATTTTGAAAGTCTATCATGGATGTGTTTCAAGGGAATGGTCATGCCCAGCAGTGATATAGAATCCATTTCTAAATATGAAATCACTGGTTTTCCATGTTATTGGGTGAATAGATAATGTATTAGAGCATAAATGGGAGACTTTTATTGTGAAATTCGATCTGGGGTATGTTGTGAAAAGGTCCCTAGAGTCTAATAGAATCAAGCTGGTAGAGTTTGGGTCATAATGCTGAGCAATTTGCATCAATTAATGCACGAGTATAACATAGAGGCTTTTATTTTGTAGGGTCACTGGAGTCTTATTTTGAAAGTCTAGCAGGGTTGTGTGTTGAGAAAAGGGTCAGACCCAGCAATGATACTTGATGACTTTCCAATCGTTAAATCACTCTTTTCCCCTGTTATTAGGGCAGTAGATGAAGTGGCAGTGGGAGGCTTTTATTTTGAAATTTGCTGTGGGGTGTGTTTTGAAAAGCCCCCTAGAGTCTAATTTTTAAAAAGTGGTTGAGTTTGGGTTATAATGTTCAGCCA